GATTGGGCTCTCGGGCGAGATCCCAATTCGTCAGTCACTGACGTAACGTTGAACGTGACTGACTGAATGGGAACTGTATTTTCCTGCGCTCAAACCTGCCAGTCTAAAGGAAACACTGTGAATGACGTTTGAGGTCATTTGTGAATTACCATAGACTTCTAGTCTAAATAAAACAATTTGCAACTGTTACTGTTATTACACTTGTATACAAAACTTTGTGTGTGACATCACGTGCACTATTGCCGGTGGCAACCGACCACCGCGGGGACGCTGTTGCCACAGCGACCGTCACAGAACTAATCCACACTTCAGTCCATCGAGTAACATCTTATGAAGTGAAAAGATGCATGTTTGTAAGAAACAAATCTATCATTTAAACCATCACTTCTGGCCAAAATATCAGTCCGGAATCCATAATAACACTTCTGCAGTGAAAATGTCAATCCCTATAGTCCTCTCACATTAGAATCCACTCACATGTTTGTTTAGAATTTATTAATCTGTTTTTGCTTGTAAATGATGTTTGATCTGTGCATATTTCTCTCCTGATTAAGACAACTTTTTCAAAGCAATTTTATGGATTATGGACTCGGTTTAAAGATCAAATGTCTTAGTAATGGATTTGTTTCTTACAAACACAGCTTTTCACTTCTCAAAACATTATTTGATGGACTGGAGTGGTGTGGATTACTTGTGGATTATTGTGATGTTTTTATCAGCTGTTTGGACTCTCATTCTGACGGCACCCATTCACTGCAGAGCATCCATTGGTGAGCAAGTGATGCAATGCTACATTTCTCCAAATCTGTTCCAGTGAAGAAACAAACTCTGGGTAGTCTGAGACTGAGGTCATTTTGTGTGAACTTTAAGATTGTTACCTATTTTGCCAAATCCATACCTCATATTTATATATATATATATATATATATACAGTATATAAATATTATGATCTGTATTAAGTTGTCATCCATTTTTGCTTATACTTTTATAATCAGTGAAATGAAGGATGGCGATCCAGAGAAGTGGGCGGGGCCCAATGGGATCGGCCATACGGATGCAAGCGACGTCCTGCAAACCACCATCAGCTCCTCTGCACAAAGCCCCAATGCAGCAAACAGTAGCACAGACGCCGAGTGTTAACAGCAAGTGGCGCTGCAAGGACAGCTGCATTATTTGCACAAAACCATGCTTTCTAAATTTATTTCAAATTCAAAACCAACCGTTCATATTTTAAATGAATATAGAAAAATAATTTCATCATTTGAAGCTTGAAAAAAAAAAACATCTTACCAGACGACCATCTTTTTCCTTTTAGTGTAAATGTACTGTAGCAGTAAACACAGGGTGTTTAGACTAATATTAAAGACATCAGTCATACGCTTCAGATTCATTAAGCACAGTAGTTGCTATTAGATTCATCTTGGATTCATGGATTCAACACCTGAGTCACATTTCCATAGGAATGCAAGCAAGGAAACTTTAATGATGAAGAGTGTAATTTCTGTGCCACTAGCAGCAGAATTTGAGCGACCTGATCAAAGAAATCCTGGAGAAATGATCGGCTAACTGTCCCATTCATCTCAATTCATCTGAGACGGAGCAGAACCTCACGGATGTACGTGATTTATGAGCTGCCATCTTTGCGACCTTTGAAATCCCCCACATGTCATTCCAGAGCTGTACAACTTTCTTTCTCCTGACGAACACAAAAGAAGATATTTTGAGAAATGTCTGTGTTTTTTTTTCCCACACAATGGAAGTCAATGGGGTCCAAAACGTCACTAGACCCCGTTGACTTTCATTGTACGAAAATCAGTTTCTTCCCTCAAAATATCCCTTTAAGAAATATGCATTTTGCATGCTAACAAGTCAAACCTTGATGCCTTGCCCCAATTGACGACACTGGCTCAACCAATGGCGTGAGTTTAGGTCAGGACTAGTTGTTTTAACAATGGCAGATGCCGCTAGTGGCACAGAATATACTTCCGATTCAATGCAAAGCAGTAAAACAATCCTGACAGAATCACTGCACTGCACATCATGGCACCTTTGCTGTTACAAAAAAAGGTCCTAAGTGTGAACTAGACTGTCCAAATTAATCAAGAGATGCATTTATAAGCCATTCAAGCGATTATTTCCGTAAAGAGGAACTGTTGTGGTCTGTTCTGTCTACCTCTTAAGACACACTCACCTCTTGGGGATCGAAATCGCACATCCTAGATGTTAGGAAAATGAATACCATCGAATCATGGAGGGCTACGTGTACCCATGTCTTCCAGCCATTTCCAAAACTTTGCACGGCATGAATGCACTGTAGAAATGTTTGGCTTTGATCGACAGTTGCGTCTTGATTAGATCCGCACACTAATTCTGAGCTGTTCCAATGCAATGTCATCTGCAAATTGTAATATTGTGCAGGATCAGGCTGCCTTTAATAACTGCGAATATTTGCCTTGTGACTCCTCTTGACTCGAAGTGGATCATGTTCATGGTACGACGTGGAGAATATTAGTGAGACTGTAGGGTTCTGGCCATCTCAGTTGTCCTGGTCTTATTGCTCAGCTAACACAGGGAACGTTCTAGAACTTTGGCTAATGTTCTGGCAAGGTTCTATCAAGGTTATGAACAAATGTTTTATCAGTAACATTAATAGATGTTATCTGGTCTTTAATAATGTTCTAAAAACATTAGCCACTTTTCACAAAAACAAACCTGTGTGTGTGTGTATTACGATTGTTATAATGAATACGTTTTATGATGTTTGTGGGCCAAATCACACAAAAAAAACAGCAAATGGTAACCACTGCCAATAGCAAACAGAATAAAACAAAATTAGGACTTTTAGATTTTTTTGGGATCATAATTGACTTTTCATGGCATTTTATCATACTTCTGAATTAGTGCGTCATAATTTTGACTTTTTATTTCATAATTTTGACCCTTTTTTATCATTTTGACTAACGGACTATTCATTTATATGTCGGAGATTGTGTAGTTCTGTAGTAATTTTGTAAATGGTACCATAATTTCGACAATATAATAATTTTGGCTTTTTCGTTATTATTTTGACTGCATATCCCAGAATTTTTATCATGTCATAATAATTATGATATAGTATCTAATAATTTCAACAATTTACACCATAATTATGACATGTTATAATTTAACTAAAAATTCGAACTAAAAACTCATAAATTATACTTTTTAATTTCTTAATATTAATAATAGATAATACATTCATAATAATGTATCTCAATTTCGACAATGTCATGATTATGACTTTTTATGTCCATTTTTATATCTCAGAATTTTGAATTTTATGTCCTAATTTTTACTTTTTCTCACATTATTACGATATGGTATCTCATAATTTCAACAATTTGCCCTATTTTTGACTTTATATCTTAGAATTTTAACATTTTTGTCATAAATTCAACTTTTCTATCATTATTATGATATAGTTTCTCATAATTTCGACTTTTTATGTCAATTTTGGTTTTACATCTCAGAAGATTTACATTTTATGTCGCAAATTCGAGGTTTTCTCTCATAATTATGATATACTATCATAATTTAGACAATTTGTCATAATTATGACTTTAAATCTTAGAATTTTACTTTTTATGTCCTAATGTTGACCTTTTTATCTTATAATTATGATATGGTATCTCATAATTTCGACAATTTGTCATAATTATGAAATTATAACTTAGAACTTTTACTTTTTATGTCCTAATGTTGAACTTTTTATCTCATAATTATGATATGGTATCTCATAATTTCGACAATTTGTCATAATTATGAAATTATAACTTAGAACTTTTACTTTTTATGTCCTAATGTTGAACTTTTTATCTCATAATTATGATATGGTATCTCATAATTTTGACAATTTGTCCTAATTATGACTTTAAATCTTAGAATTGTTACATTTTTGTCGTAAATTCAACTTTTCTCTCATTATTATGATATAGTATCTCATAAGTTCGACAAATTCATAATTATTAATTTTTATGTCAATTTTGGTTTTATATCTCAGAAGTTTTACATTTTATGTCGCAAATTCAAGTTTTTCTCTCATAATTATGATATAGTATCTTAATTTAGACAATTTGTCATAATTATGACATTATATCTTAGAATTTTACTTTTTATGTCCTAATGTTGACCTTTTTATCTCATAATTATGATATGGTATCTCATAATTTCGACAATTTGTCATAATTATGCCTATGCCTAAATGTCCTAATGTTGACCTTTTATGTCATAATTATGATATGGTATCTCATAATTTCGACAATTTGTCATAATTATGACTTTAAATCTTAGAATTGTTACATTTTTGTCATAAATCCGACTTTTTCTCTCCCAATTATGCTATAGTATCTCATAATTTCGACAATTTATGTCAAATATGAATTTTATCTCATAATTAAGCTTTATCAAAGCATGTTTTATTTTCCTTGTGTGGCTGAAATGTGCTCCCATGATCCATCATTCAGGTTTTGTACAGTTTATTCAGCATGTCATGTCACTCCGCTACAGTAGGTGGCGGATAGTAACTCACAGATGAGGATGCAGCGTAAATACACGGCGAAGGAGCAGCAAGCATGGCGTCCTCATATCATCAGGAGATGCAGGAGGTCTTCAGGAACAACAATAAAAGCAGAGAGTTCCCGGCTCACAATGCTAAAGTGCATTCGGTGGCCTGGAGCTGCGATGGAAAACGACTGGCGTCCGGATCATTTGACAAAACCGCCAGCGTGTTCGTCCTGGAGAAAGACCGACTGGTGAGGTTTGGGTTATCAGCTCCATCATCTGCAACATGAATTGTACAAATGATTCATATATGTTATTTATTGTTATTATTTATACACTAAAACGGTATTTCGACAGTTATAGTTCGTTCTTGCTTTATTTAATACAAACAAAGTCTGCGGCAACAACTAAACTAATCATTGTGGGTCTCCAAGCAGCTTTAAAACTCTTGTTGTTTCGTTTATATTTACAGTGGTCTCCAAATTAATTAGTATTAAGTATTTTCTCCAGCTTAAAAGGGTTTTAAGTCAGTTGTTTCCAGTGTTGGGGGTAATGCATTACAAGTAACGCGAGTTACGTAATCCGATTACTTTTTAAGTAACTAGTAAAGTAACGCGTTACTTTTTCATTTAGAAGGAAATATCTGAGTTACTTTTTCAAATAAGTAACTCCAGTTACTTTGTTTCCATGTATTGAGTGACAGCTGTGGTGTTGCCATGCTGAGAGAAATCAGGAGTAAGTGCAGAGCGTTGTGTCTTACTGTACATGATCTTACTGTAGATCTAGACTAAATATGAACATGTTTACTCATCTCACTGCACACAGACAGATTCAGTATTCCTCAAAATGAATAAAAACAATCAAATGCAATAATTAAATATGTTAAGACAAATATCATTTATGTATTTAATCTAGGGATGCACCGATATGAAAATTTTGGCCGATACCGATAACCGATTATTCTTTATTTTTGAAAGCCGATAACCGATATGTTGGCCGATAAATCTATATCCAAATTGTTATATACTTTTTGAGAGCCTGATTACAAAAAAGGTCTCATCGGCTACAAACGAACAGCGCGCATCTGAAGTGTCTCTGAAGGAAATAATGCATTATTTATCGGCTTTAAGATATCGGCCAAATTTTCTTATCAGGCCGATACCGATAACAGAAAAAAATTGCATTTATCGGCCGATACCGATATGGTGGCCGATATATCGTGCATCCCTAATTTAATCCCATTTTATTAACCAATGTCTTTGCTACTGACCTTTGATGATCCAATTTAACCGTACTAATAATCATAAATGACATTTGTGTTTGATTTTAGTTATTGCTGAGTAGTGTTGAACTTTCTTCTCCTGCGGCATATTCTTCATGCGATTTGTTTGCGCTGCGCCCTATTACTGTACAGACGTGAATTTACATTTCCTTCAGCCTGAGGCGTATTCATTTCACTTTTCTTATGAAAGGGCTTTTATGTTTGTAAAAGAAGAACTTTTTTATATTAAAAACAAACAAGCAAGCCCTGCCCAGATTTAAAAAGTAACTCAAAAGTAGCGTAGCACATTACTTTCCATAAAAAGTAACTAAGTAACGTAATTAGTTACTTTTTTAGGGAGTAACGCAATATTGTAATGCATTACTTTTAAAAGTAACTTTCCCCAACACTGCTTATTTCTATATTTTGCTGTAGTGTGTGAGTAGGAAATATTAGTTTACATTTCCAAACATCACTTTTGCCATTAATTGTAATAATCCCGTGAGATTTTTGTCTGAGTTCTCCACACAGATAT